CAAATTTCACCCCTTATTCACCTCTAAATGAAAGCATTGAATCGGATGCCCAAAATACAACGGGGTTAAAGATTAAACCAATGGCACTTTGTCCAATTTGCGAAGTCCAGGATAAGAGATTCACCATGTTTTGCCGATTATCCAATCATGTTCTTTGAACTGCCATTGTGCAGTCAGAGCTTGCAGTGTGGTTCCCGATGAGTTGACTGGAAGAAGGCTGTGTATTAAGTACATGTACGCAAACCTGTACATGTAGCTGGCCATGGTCATTTGTCTTGTTTGCGCTGGTTTGTAACTGTCGCCTGATCTTCTCCAAAATGTTCAAAACAACAGCTGGCAAACGGTGATAATTGAGCCATGCTTAACGTACATTGGTGTGCATGCATGTGTTTGTCCCGATTGAGATTGCATTTTTTTGTATGTTTGTCGTTGGCACAGACGCACTCATCCAGAGAGAGCAGGAAGAATACGAGCGAGGGCGCCGTCACCTGGCCAACATGATGGGCGAGAACCCGGACACGTTCACACAGGAGGACATCGATGTGAGGACCTCAGATTTTATTCATTCATATTGGCCAATTTATAATCAAGCACAGCATCTTATGATCAACAATGCCGTCCTCAGTACAGATTATTTTGCATACTAAAGTCCCGATTATTGAGTTCGGAGGTTTGAATTCAACAGCTGGTAACATGCTGGGACCTTGGGTAGGGTCACTTTATCCCTACTTACTAACTCTCCAGCTAGGAGTGAATGGGTACCTCTGAGGACAGAGGGGTTGTGCTTGATTAGCCAGTCACTGCCTGACATGGCTGCACTAAGCTCTGCACTCCCCAGGCAGCTAGTTAAAGATGATATTAGGAATTATAAGCAGGTATATTAATTCCACCAGATCTTGTCCGTGTTCATGACAGCACGGCCCCTTTAGTTTCCAAAATAATCATCATTTGTCACTCGATAACAATTCACAACACATTGCACCACTGAATGTTGGGCATTTAGTTTCTTATTTTATAGTCACCGTTTTGTACATGTTTCCAGTCAATAGAGATTTTTTACATGGTGCAACATGACGGGGAAAGGCATTTCAGGAAGTGTGCCAGGTCCGTGGACGCGCGTTCATTTTTTTGAATCTCTGTATTTCTGTTGGCAATTTCATGTAGGCCGGAATGTTGAGCAACTCTGAAGGCATGCATGTTTACGCACACGTCTGAGTAAATTGAATGCTGACCGTCAAAGTGTGACTTAAAATCCTCTCTAATCATCTATTTTTCATTTGGAAGATCTACGTGTACAAATCCAACTTGAATTGTACATGCTCTTGTGAAACCCTGCACGTTTTCCTATAACAAGGAGCTGAAAATCGCCTGCCTCCCAGTTGTGCCTTGTGTTTTGCATGAGGGTGATTCACAGTACTCTAGGCTGTGAAGATATTGCCACAGACAGACAGAGAGGTCATTTGTCAAGTTTACGGTCCACAAAAACATGGCCGCCTTGCCGCGATATGCTTCTGAGCGTATGTCATTTGACAACTTGGGGAAAGATTTGATAGATTGGGATATCCCATGCAATAGGAAATGACCCTTCCGTGGAAACCTCTTATCGCCCCATTGTATCGCCCCATTTCCTTCCAAAATTGTAGCCTGCCCATCGCAATCAAAGAAACATTACCCCAGGTTGGAGTTGAATCACGCCCTCCGGACTTGGCAGGTGAAGACAGTCCATGCCAACCTCACCACCTCAGCATAAGAAATTTTCGGCTTTAGTCATCTAAATGAAAACTCGCTGTATGTTTTTTACATCCGCCAGAGGTCGATCCGCTATTTGTTGCCTTCGGGCTTGTTCGAGAAGAAAGCCAGGCCCATCATGCAGCCACCCACCGAGTTCTACCCACCTCAGAAGGCTGCCCAGTTTGCGTCAGATGGTCGGCCCTTTGATTACTTGTTTTACACCGGCAAGCCTAACTACTATAATCTCATGCATGTGAGTACTCCAGATCATCACCATTTTCATGAAGAGACAAATGTGACTCAAAGTCATCACTTTTTCAAATTTTGTTGGTTTTTTTTTTTGTTAACCAAATCAACCAGGCTGTTTGTGATGCCAATGATTTGGTAATCTAATCGCTATGACCAAATTTATTGAAATATTGATTTCCTTCAAAATTAATCTAAACTGCATTTGTTTGTTTTCATGGGGTAAATATTTGTACCCTGGAGGGATTAAGTGAAAGTAATGATGGCAAAATTCACCCAGCCTGTGTTTTTTTTTCTTTTTCTCAAAATGAGACGACAGGTGTCATTATTTTGTGCATGGCTTGCGCAGTTGGCAACAGCATATCTCCCATGCCGTTTTCCTCATTTCTGAGTTTTCATGAAGCAACGCATTTCAGGTGAATTAAAAAAGAATCCTTCATCCTTACATTCAAGCCAAAGACTGGACAGTAAGTTTATAGCATTTTATGCCCGTCTAGGATATGTGCTTTCATACAGTGTACTTCATTAATTAAGTATTTAAGTAAGTTAATCTCTGTGACCTCAATCTTTTTTTACTTGCCAACTTAATTAAACGCATGGTTTTATTGAAATTTTAGTTGAAAATTTGTCACCTGGTGAAAAACAATGACAAAATGTTAAGAACATGAACCCCATAACATTCACCAAAATCACCCAGATGAATGTGACGACACTGTTTAGCTATCTGCTCTGCGATCCGTTTGGTCAGCCACCCAGAAAATCAGAAAAACGCCTCAACAACTTTACCGCTTTGTTCAGAATAGTTGACCTTCAAGGCATAAAGTTTTGATGGAAACATTTTTTGGGCTTGCGATAGGAAACATATGCTGAGCTGAATAGGGTCATAGAAGTTGAAAACCATCACATCAAGAGAGGGACCTTGAAACCAACAGCAGAACAAGTGTGAGTATTCACTCTTGACAGAAAAAGTCGGACATTTTCCGTTTTTTCCTCCTGTGATGCAAGGATTCACTCTCTGCACTTTAAGTAAAATATTCAGAATGGTCTAGATTTTCTAAGTGTATTAACTGTTGTATTAATTGGTACAACGTCAAACCTTGTTTGACGGCCTGTGTTGCCTGCGTGTTTATAACCCTCCAAGGGTGTTTGCGCAGTATAAAGCAGAAGCAAACTGCTACTGTCCATGATTTTCTTAAACAAATGCAGCAAGTAGTGCAGGTGTGTAAATTTTTGGACCTTGTTGGCATGTGGGTTGATTCCAAAAATTAGGGGTCCAAAAATGGGACAATTTTGTGTCCCTGTTACATCTGACCTTTGTTATTTGACATGGAATTATCTCCGGAATTGATTTCAAACTATTAGGTGAAGGTAGCAAGTTACATGTAGCTATAGAGGTTTGCAGTAGCACCATGCAAGGATCTCTTTTTCGTGGTTCTGAAAAGGACCGGAGGGTACTTCCTTATAAACCGGAAGGTACTTCATTTCAGAGCCATACATACTCATAAAAGAAATATCATTCCATGGTGCTACCGCAAACCTCTACAACTAGATATAAACTATTTCAAAGATGGAATCTTTGAAATAGTTATTTGCAGTACCTGCTGCAACGTCTGATGTGAACCAGCCAGCCGACACTGGCAAGCTCGGTGGTCGAGTGGTTAAGACGTCTGCACTAGTAAACAGGAGTTCGTGGGTTCAAGTTTACTTGAGTACGCTTGTGGTTTTTTTCACAAGCCTTCAGGGGCATACACTTAGTATACAGTGTTAAAATACACATCGGGCAGGGTAAAATAAAAAATATAATAAATAAATAAATTTAAAGAAAGATTAAAATCAATAGATTTGCACTGTGGAGAACAAGGGTTGATGTGTGTAGAGCTGCGAGTTATTTGTTGAGTTCTTCTGACTAAACCAGTCCACAAGGAACTATTTTCTTTAATTGGGTGTTTTCCCCTTACGTAATTCTCGACACTGTATCCTCTCTCATCATAGTGGGTTCAATTTTTTCACAAGTTGCAGTGTTTGTAAATATTGGTCATTCTTTAAACTAGGGATGCCAATTTTTGTGTGTCCCTGTCACATCTGACATGTGATTTGTAAGTTCAGCACGCGTTCTCTAATTTCCAAGAGTTATAACTTAATGCAAATTACATACCAAACAAATAGAAATAGTTGGAAAATCAGCTTCAGTAATATTTCCATGTCAAATTACACAGTTCAGGTGTAGCCGAGGACACAAACAGGTCGTGCTTTTGAACTCTGAATTTATAGCATGACCCATGTATGTCAGTGAAGGGCAAAAACACTCTACGTGAAAGGCATCGTGTAGATTTTCGTAGCTGGAAATTCTTCAAGTTTATTTTTCCGCCAGCTGCCGACAATGATGGAAGAGTCTCTTTAGTATCCCATATTTTTTTCTTTCTCCTTGTGGTGTTCAGGGATCTTGGAAGAAGCCAGTGGATTGATAAGAAAGCAGTGGAATTGATGATTGTGGAAGAGATCTCAGATCCAGACGTGAGTACCCAGAAAATAAATTGAACTATTTTTAATTTACACATAGCCATCGTCCACAGGTTGCATTTTTTTTTCCTAATTAGATGTTAATGCTTGCATTAAATCTTTAATAATTACCTCCTGATTCTGGTCTTTGTTTAGTACTGCAAAGACCTCACTACGGAGCATTTTAAGCAAAAACCAAAAAAATCAGGATATGCCAGACCATCCGTTCGTTAAATAAATGAGCACCTGCCAAATTCTTGCATGTTGAATCATTGCTGAGGGGTGATTGCCCTTTCCATTGCTCCTTGTGTAGAGGGCATTTTGTATATCTCTCCAAATGGCAAAATGCACACAAAGGGGTGGAGTCAAACTGTTAATGCAACTGTACACCAACGACACTTTGTAAAGATATTTAATGCTCCTGCTTTCGAATATGCAGGGACATTTGGTAAAAAGGGATGAAATTGGCCAAAATTCATGAAGATACTAGAAGGGCGCGGCAACTTTGCCTTGCAAAGTTGTGGTATATATACATGCACTAGTAGAATGGGGACTTTTTCTTGTTTCTTGTGATTGCAAATTGATCGGTTTCCCATTTGTGCATGCACAGTACGACAGGTTCCTCATGCTACTGGAGAGAATCCTGCAGCAGCCGTATGCCAAGGAAGTAGAGGAGTACATCTTCAAATTCCGACGCAAACTGGTGGCCGTCTTGAGCCGCGAAGTTATAGATCCGGTGAGTTTGTGTTGCCTAACAGCGACCCTACTCTGCCCCATATTTACACTAGATTTCCTCTCTCAAAAAGGTATGCAAGTTACGAATGTTTGCCGTTGTGCATGCATTAACTTGTTCTGGGAGGAGTGCGGCCTAGTGTTTGTAGGGTTTGTCAGTCACGATCAGATAGTCAAGGGTTCAAATCCTGCCAACAGCCTGAGTTATGGCCTTGGGCAAACCATCTCACCCCCCTGCTTGCTTCTCTCCACCCAGGAATAGAAATGAGCACCGGAAGTAGCTGGGGAGCAACCTGGGGTGATCTTGCATCCCATTCATGGGGGGGGACAGAAACATTTTCAATCAATTCTTGGCAGGGAAACCGGAGATAAACGCTGGCCTACTGAACCTTTAAAGCTAGAAACTGAGTTGCAATAAAGGATGTGCCACCTACATGGTGACACATGTACCCGCATGTGTAAGAATTTGACATCAATGAATTGTCTCTTTGAGGCAGTCAGATGACGGTGCAGCAGTGTACTGCTTTTCTCGCTCCCGCTGGCTGATGTGTGGAGTCACATAAACATATATGCACGCGGAGAGCCTCCTGCGAAAAGTTTGGAACTCAAATTTTCGTCTGGAAGACTATTCGACAGATCCAGACGTCAGATTTGAAAGCTCATCACTTGTTTCAGAAATGTGGAATCAAAATGAAAGAATGTTGTTGGTTGCCATTGGCTCTTCAGATCCAATTTGATGAGGCCGGACGAGCCTTCGCTGAGGGATATGGCAAAAGGAAGGAAGCCGAGGCCAGTGTGGTCATTAGGGACCAGGGAAATGGGCGGGTTACCATCAACGGACAGAGCTTCCTGGAGTATTTCAATTTAGTGCAACACAGGTGAGTCCTCTTTTCTATTGCAGTGTAAATATGGCCTTCCTGTTATAGGAATAAATCGATCAACAAGGTGGCAAGTTAAACTTGAATAAAATCTGGTACACTGAGTAATATCTTATTGCACAAACACCTAACAATTTGAGTTCCCCAGACTAAAGACACTGTTGCTATACCTCTTGATTCGGGGCAAGCTTTTGCATGGCAACTACCATCTCTGGAATGGACTGGTTCCCTTGTGCCCTTCTTATCCATTGAGAACAGTGTATTGGTGTAAGGCATCTCCTATGCAACTGAGTAAACACTTGACCAGGAGGTATAGCAACAGTGTCTTTAGTATGGAGATTTCAAATTGTCAGGTTCGAATGAATTTAAAGAACTCGGCATACCAGATTTTATTCAAATTTATGCCAGAAGAGGTAATTAAACTCACAACTGTAAACTTCAGTATTCTTTATTAGGGATGTGGATAATAAGCGAGACAGAAATTTCAGAAACCTATATGTTTTTGCTGATGGTTTCTTCTTGTAAACACAAATAAAAAAAAAACAATTTGCTGTGTGTTATGTGAAATTGCAGATTCCCAGCATGAAAACTTGGTAAGACATGTTCACCTCTGCATGGAGCATGTATAAAATGTACAGTGTCGCTGCACCAAGTGTTGGTATTGTGGTGTTGAGTTACGTATTTTCTTATCCAGCACAGGCAAGTAATTTTTTCTTTCACATTTTGGTGCAGAACTCAAGTGATGTTTCCGTTCCATTTCTTGGGCATGCTGAACCGGTTTGATCTGGATTGTACAGTCAGGGGCGGGGGAAAGTCCGGCCAGTCAGGGGCAGTGAGACTGGCCTCAGCCCGGGCTTTGCGCAGCTTCATCGACGAAGCGGCGGTGGAGAGAATGAGACAAGGTGAGCCTTGACATTAAGTATAGTGCCAGCATCCCGTAGAAGATAGAGTGGGGTCCACAATACATCATGTGCCTATTGCAATATTTTAATATTTGAAAGAATCATTTGGAGGTTATATTAATGGGGGGTCTGTTCAAGTCACCAGTGTTTCATGATGTGTTTTTTTCCCCTAAAAACATGGAGAGGTTAGATCCTGCGGTGTATGCGGATCTTCGGTCGGGAGGGGGAAGGCAAAAATAAAAGTTTTATTAACTGACTGTCCAATTTTTTCAATCTGTAAAAGAGTCCTCACATGAATCCCCTCCAGAGGGTAGTAGTACAATTTTTAAAATGCTGGTGCTCTCATTCTCAAAAATGTCACCCCTCCGGTTATATCCCGCATTAAGAAACATGTACAGAGAGAGTCAGTATTTTAGATAAAGTGTCTATATTATGGGCAATTTCTGACGTACTGTTATTCGATCGTCAACGTTATTGGGATTTTAACCAAAGTTAATGCAATAAATGTAAGTAACAAGCTGTGCATACAGGTTAGTTTTGATTCATGGACTTTCATCTGAGACTTGCCAGCGCAAGCTCTATGCGGCTGAAATCCGCTCACAATCTCGAAGTGTTCAGAGGGACATCAACTGCGTCATCAACATGCACGGTGTACCAGCAGGCCCACAGCCTCACCCTCTTTTGGGAGTTCAAAATTCACAGCCGTAGTGTTCTTGTTACGCGTTTCAAATTGCAACCCAGCATGCCGTGTACACCGACCCTATCCGGCATGAAGGCCAAAGCGTGTTTTAATGTGCCTTGCTTAAGACCAAAGAGATACTTGTGGTCCCAGGCGGCTCTCAGACTTCCCGTTTTATTTCTTTCAGCCGGCCTGCTGACCCGAGACCCTCGCGTCAAGGAGAGGAAGAAGCCCGGTCAGGCCGGAGCCCGGAAGAAGTTCACCTGGAAAAAGAGATGATGGCACTTTCAAATAGACGTACTTCAGTGAATAGTCAGAGTTCTCCTTACATCGAGAATCAACTGCAGTTACATTAGGACTCCATTCATTTCACGTTTTCCCCGTTTAATTACTTTCAGAGGTCACTTTCAGAGCAACCAACCCTTGAGCTAGTGTTGGTTTAGCCAGTAGTTTAGAAGAGTTCCATCATAGGGGAATTAATTTTCAATATTCATTCAGGAATAAGGCCTTAAATGTTACCCGTGCCTTGTGAAGTATGAAGTTTTCTAGACAGTTCCATGGTACAATGCCGTCTGCTGGCCCACCCCTACCATCAGCAAAAACAAGGAGCATCAACATTGTCCGTTCTTGTGATGTGCCCCCTTGCTGGTGCCATGTCGCCCTAATGCCCGAAACTGCCAACGGTGCTCTTCATCAGCAAACAATTACGATTGTAAAGTCCCATTTGCATGTATGTAGGCATTGAATAAAAGTGTGGGTGCCTGTGTATTTCAAATGCAGTGCGAAAATGATTATGTTGTTTTGGTATACGTAGACATAGGCCTACATGAACGTGTTTGGATCATGGGTCGTTGGCCAGTCAGACGTCAATTGGAAATGTTAATTACGTTACCACCTTGGGTTTTACCAAGCAGTGGTTCCCTATCTGTGGGCGGCAGTACAAAAAAATCAGTTCACAAGTTTTAGCATCAGTGCGAAGTTAGCAAGATATCTGAGAGAAATATGTATCGAATTGTCTGCACGCAAACTATGAACGATAATTGAAGCTTGGGGTGCGCAGTGTGCGCTTTTAACATTAACCTTTATTAGTGTGTGCAGATATGCCACTCTTACTTCGAGAACTCAAAGCCACGTCGTTACTCCGTGTTACTGCGAGCTAGTACAGTTTAAATGGAATCGTAACGCTATGGTTTTTTAATCTAGACTAACTTGATACTCAGTGATAAGCGAATGCTTCACATCTTAAACAAATGTATTCGATCATCTGATTTTCCTGTGAGAGCAAACTTGAGTAACCTATAGCTGGAATATTGGAAGGAAGCCTTCAAAATTGTCAGTGGTGTCAGCGCGGTGTAGCTATCACACAACCTTTAGTCTGAGTTCCACTTACATAGAAGATCTCAGACTTACGAGTTTCGGGAAACAAGCCTTCAAAGTTATCAGCCGTCTCAGAAAATGAAGACTTTTTTCAGTTCTCGGCCCAAAGGAGAATGTGATGATGCGAGTGCAAGAGGTGGACAAACTGAGGGGGTTGTCGGACGCTTGGTGGCGCTGTTTAAATGTAAGAGTGTTGCCGGCCAGTAAAGAAACTGCCATAGCCAACGGTGATAAATACCAGAACTTCAAAAATCAGGAACATACGATTTTCTCAGGTGTTCAAGACGCACATCAAATTAAAGTTTATGATTTTTCATTTTCTTTTCAATTTTCCATTAATTAACTGATGATTTTAAAAATATTTATTTCCACGGAAGGTCACCCCTAAAATGCAGTCGTGAAGCCCCTCGCCACTTTGGAATATCGATGCCTACACTTCTCAAAAAAAAATAGACCGTTTTCAGGCACCGATTTCTTCCAAATCTCACTCAGACGCAAGCTGGTATTCTCTTTTCCCACCTAAAGTTCATGGACCGCAAAATGCTTTATTCCGTATAGAGAATTTGAGTGCATACAAATAATTGTGATTTGGCCCGGGCAAGCACTTTTTGACCCATCTACTGGCCTGCATTCAGAGAGTGGGCATTGTATAGAAAGTCTGGACTCGGAAAAGTCCCTGATCAGCCCCATAGGTCGTTGGCCATCTAGTACCGTGCCAAAAATAAAGTTTTTAAACGCAGAGGCTTGTTCGCCATTGTTCACGAAATAATTTCTGGCAACAGTAGCTACAATTTTACGCAATGAGCCAACGATCACATTTGTATTCGGCTTTGTACGATGGCCGCCGGTGGCTTCAGTGGATAAAGGAGCATGACGATGGCGAGTCAAGACTTTATAATGTCCATGTGTTAGAACTGTATAAACTTCGTTTTCATGGCTACAATGTTGCTGCGCCTTGACTGATGCCCGTCTAAATAAGAGAGTCTGTGAAGTTGACCCCTCATGGTGCGTAACACGAAAAAGTAACGTACAAAAGTTTTTAAAGTAGGTAATTTGTTTCATTTACTGTACTTGTCGATTATTTCTCCCCAAAGGCCTTTGTAAAGCATTTAGTAGCGTTTTACTGCAGAAGACTGAAACTCTAATATAACCTCACCTATAAAAGAATTTGCTGCAAGTCACAACCAAAAATGTAAATTTTCTATAACGACCAGTGCAGTCGGTGTGCTCGTACGCAGACGGAAAAGTTTCGAAATTATTTTATGGTAGTTGTTACGTTAAACCGGTTATAAAAGACCGAAATAATCTTACCAACTTTTAAGGAAATAAACATTGACTTTAAGGAAAATCTGCATTTCAAAAATATTCTTAAGTCTTATCTAACTTGCTGGCAAAAAGTCCACCATGCCAGCTCGAAAAATCTACAACCCAGCGAATGTAGGTACGTAAATCTTGTACATTCTCGTTCTGACCTAAGTACATGAAGTGAAAACAAGCTTGCATAAACAAGAAACCCAGGAACGATGTTGCTGGAAGTGAAAAAACGTCACTCAAGTTGGATTGATTGCATTCAAAATTTTTCACACTAGTTTGGAGAAATTCACACTCGTCAATTTTGTACCTAACCTCAATTCCTCAAAGTGTTGTCATTTGTTTCTCGCTAAATCTTTGTGATTACGTCTTTTGGGATATGTCGCCAATTACATGAACGAGCGATATACTGAACTTGTGTTCAGATGAGCAAATTAGCAACGTACTGCATAAGCTATGCCACTCACTGCATAATAGGCGCAGCCTTTTCATTAATATAAACATGAAGGATTTCTGTCCCTGACCAGTTCCTACATTCCCTGATCTTATTGAACGTGCTCGGAGACAATGGGTACAAGGTAAGTCTGATAAAGCCACATAATGAGCATTATTTCCATCATTGCTATAGGTGAGACAGTTTCCATCCCATGAAAACCCATCTGCTAGCTGAACGTTTAGTGGCAAATGCAGCATTCAGGCCTTGACCTGAATTAAGTGGACGTAAGATTTACAGGAAACGTCAGAAGTACTAATTGTCCTGCACATTGAAGTTAACACCACCGAGGGAAGAAAGTGGCACGTGTAGCCAGAGATTAACTTTGGAAACTGAGTTAAATTATAAAGTAACCTCTAATTGTGGGGTGCTTTGCATATGTAACTCTGGCCCACAAATTATGTGTGCAGTACTTGAAGTGGATGCAACTAGGCCTACAACACGGACATATTGATACAACACCATAACAAATTATTTTGTTGCAGAAATCGAGAAACGGCGGTACCAAACAGACTACCTCGGATCACAAGTTTTGCCACCAACACCATATTACGGTTTTGATATGATTAATCAGTGATGCGTAATCTAGCTGTTTACTTGAAGCCCCAAATTATAAGCCATACAATAATTGACGGCGTTGGCACCTTGATGGCGAGAGCCGACAATAATTTCTCTTCGTCGATTGTGACGAATCCAACGAACCGGTAAATGTTTTAGAAAGGTCTGCTTAGGCAGGGATGGTGTTTACAGTTGATAATGTGCTTCTAACTTATATTTTGTGCTCACGTTTTTATTTTGATCTTCCCTAATGATACGACGGGCTGTTCAAAACAAGAACGAAGCCCACGTTTTACAAATGATAGGCATCGTCCTGCGGTATAAATTTCACATTAAAAATGGGAGTTGTCCCATGCCTTGAAAGGGCTCCCCCAGAAAATTTCACATTAAAAATGGGAGTTGTCCCATGCCTTGAAAGGGCTCCCCCAGAAAAGAGAGTTTGTGTTTGGACATTGAAAATTCATGGCAATACTAATATTGTTGACCATAAACATTTCTTGTAAAAAACAAATTATTTTCTTTAGGTTTGAAGTGGTGATTTTATCAAGGTGGAAGTAGAGATGATACCTTTAGGGTTTAAAACATTCCTTCATTCAGTGCACAAGAGAGGTGAAACTCCGTATGGAGTTCAACGACGGCACCGGCTAGATTTTCCAGTGACAGATATAGAAGCTAGCCCACACCAAACCAAAACAAATCAAACTCCTTTGTAAAAGGGTAGAACCCAAAATGGCGTCCACGTTGTGCAAAGGGTAAATTTGTATCCTTACGGAGTATTTCCTTTGTTTCCCGTTAACTAAAAAGTGCTGTGCGAAGAGCAATTCTCGTATCTCTTCTGTTTAAACCAGACTAGAATCACTTTCCAGAGTTAAACTGCCGACCAAATGTTTCATATAAAAAACCAACTTGCGCGGAATAAGCATACCCTGGAAATTTCTCCTTTTCAGTAAATTTTAAAGCTCTGCGGTACCCCTATTCATCATAGACCCCACGGGCATTATCAGCTATGTTCCCAAAATGAAATAATTTGTGGGTGGGTGGGGGTGTATGTGTGTGTTTTGTCGCCGCAAAATAAATACAAAAGTTTATTTTGCCACCGTAAAAGTTTATTTTGCGGCGATAAATTTACACGCGCACCCACACCCACAAATGATTTCTTCATTTTCCAGATAAAGGGCGGCCGATCGGCGTAACATCTAAATTCACCGTGAAGTATAGCATAATAACACAAGGCATTGGGCGCGAAGGCCAACAATGATGTTTACCGTTTCTGGTGCAGACGAAGCGTTGCATCATTGAATCAGTTACTTCATTGTCAGCAACGTACTTCGTCACAAAACCTGCCCTTATAGTGAGGGAGTGGAGTCAGAATACTATTGGAACGATACCAATATGTGCATGATATATTCTTAAAAACTCGCTGCACAATAAATTCCCTTTGAAGGCCAACATGGCAAATGAAGCTTTTAATTAGCTACCTTATCGTCATTGTCCTTTGCCACAAAGCCCTGCTCCTCAGACTTGGCCTAGTGCCACATGCTCACGAAGAGGAAATAATTCAAGGGCACATTATCTACACCACAATTTGAGGCAAAAGGGATTAGAGCCGTAACAGTTCATACAGAAGTCAGGTAAACAGTCGCGAGAGAGAGAGAGAGAGAGAGAGAGAGAGAGAGAGAGAGAGAGAGAGAGAGAGAGAGAGAGAGTCCGAGCCATTGCACCAATACTTGATGGTTTTATTACTGCGTTAGTGCAGCGCTGTTAAAAAGTAAAATGCATGGTGTCATCATAACTTCATCATGCATTTGTTATTATGTTTATTAGTTTCTTTTTCACAATTGCTGCAACTGCATCGTACAGATGAAGCTAATACGTTCATGTTAGGGATGTCTGTTATAGGCATCAAATGGTCATGCACTCCCTGTGTCACGTGACCCAACCTTAAAGGTGAACTCTCGACAGGCCATCCCATAAGTTGAAAGTTAGTAGTTAATTGCCAGGGATGGTTACAGATATGCATTGTGTTGATATTGAAA